GGCGAGCAGAGAGGGAAACCACCTTCCTACCCAAAATATGACAGCTACATTCCCCTGAGCTCGTCACGATCCCAGATATTGTCGCAGATACAGCACTGGGTCAAGAGACCCCCTCCGCAAACGCATGATTCTTCACGAGCTGACAGAAGCAAATACTGCGATTATCACCGTGTCTACGGCCATAACACAGAGGACTGTCAGAGCCTCAAGGATGAGCTCGAATTCTTGGCTCGCAATGGGAAATTGGAGGGGTATGTACAGAAGTCTTTTGTTTGGCAACCCACCCAGACCCACTTTGTACAAGAGTACGGCCGACCTCAAGCACCCGGATATCAACTCAGTAACAATCCAAATTCTTGCCAGGCAGGTCCGTACTCATCCGAGTTGAACAGAGTATACAGGGGGCGCCCGTTCAATAGGCGTGGGCAAGGACAGAAAGTACCTGCACAGAATCCAAAAGACCATAGAGGAGTTGGGTATGGAGGAATACCCCCTCCATCTGGCACGATCAATATGATCTCTGGTGGAATGCACTCAGAGGGCCAAAGTGCCCAGGCCCGCAAGGCTTATGCCCACCAGGTGATGATAGTCAACAAAAACAGGCCCTTGAAGCGACCGTTCGAAGAGGCGGAATGGGAGAACGCAGCTATCACATTCAGCCCGCCAGATTATAAGCGAGCAGACGGAGAGCCAGACGTTATGATGCCTCATGCAGATCCATTTGTGGCAACGGTCCATATAGGCAATCATAATGTCAATAAGGTCTTTATTGATACGGGTAGCTCGCCATATATCCTTTATTGGAGCTGCTTCCAGAAGATGCAGTTGAACCCGAGCTCGCTACAAAAGTATGAAGGACCCATCTATGGGTTCAATAATCAGCCCATCCCGGTAGAAGGAGTCATTACCCTTCCCATCTATGTGGGCTCAGAACCACGGTTCAGGATGGCCTCCGTCACTTTCCTGGTCGTCAAGATGGAGTCAGCTTTCAACGCTATACTGGGAAGAGCCACCCTTTGCGAGCTGAAGGCTGTCATTTCTCAACCCCATCTCTGCATGAAATTCCCAACTCCTCAGGGGGTAGGAGTACTTAAGGGGAACCAGAAAATGGCCAGAGCCTGCTATCAAGACACGTTCAGAAAGGTTGAGCTCGCTGCAACACCGGCAGGTTTTGAGAATAGCAAGCTAACTCAGCTCGGTCAGTAGACAATGAGCATATCGGACATCGAGCATAGGCCCGAGGGCGTCGAACAGAAGGCAGAACCAGTGGAGCCAGTGGAAACAGTCCTTTTAGACCCTGACGTGCCGGAAAGGACGGTTAAGATCGGCACCAAGCTCACAGAGGCAGAACGGGCAGAGCTTTTGGAGTTTTTAAGGGTTAATCAGGACGTGTTTGCGTGGGCTACAGATGAAATGCCTGGCATCCCAACGGAGTTGACAATCCACAAGCTCAGCACGGACCCCACCATAAGGCCGGTGGTGCAAAAACGCCGCCTTTTTTGCCCTGAGAAGCAAGCTGCCATTGACGAGGAGATACAAAAGTTGTTACGGGCAGGCTTCATCAGAAGAGTAGAGTACTCTGAATGGGTGTCCAACCCTGTGCTCGTCAAGAAGCCAAATGGCAAGTGGAGGATGTGTATTGATTTCACCAACCTCAATGATGCGTGTCCAAAAGACCCTCATCCCTTGCCAAACGTCGAGAAGTTAGTAGAACGGGCAGCAGGACATGAACGGATAAGTTTTCTTGACGCCAGCTCGGGTTACCACTAGGTCCAGTTGCTATTGGATGACCAGGAGAAGGCAGCTTTTTATGCTGGTGACGCCATCTACTGCTATGTCATGATGCCGTTCGGCCTCAAAAATGCTGGAGCAACATACCAAAAGCTGGTGCAAATCATCTTTAAACTTCAGATCGACAGAAACATAGAAGTATACGTGGATGACATGATAGTCACCAGTGTGCGAGTTGAGGATCACATAAACAACCTGGACGAAACTTTTCAAAACCTGCGCTGAGCCCAAATGAAGCTGAATCCTATGAAATGCACGTTTGCTGTGGAATCAGGGAAATTCCTAGGATACGTGGTATCCAAGAAAGGGATTGAAGTGAATCTAGAGAAGGTCCAGGCCGTTCAGCAGATGGAGCCTCCCAAGACTGTAAAGGATGTACAGCGTCTGACAGGTCGTATAGCTGCGTTGCACAGGTTTATAGCCAGGTCAGGTGAAAGGTGCCTCCCGTTCTTTAAAGCTCTACGAGAGCCTAAAAGCTTCCAATGGACTGATGAATGTCAACGGGCGTTTGACGAGCTCAAACAGTATCTGGCATCAGCACCCTTACTGTCTAAACCTGTCGATGGGGAATGCTTATATCTTTATCTGGGGGTCACAGAGGAAGCGGTGAGTTCAGTGCTACTGAGGGAAGAGAATAAAATTCAGAAGCCTATTTGCTACGTGAGCAAGGTGTTACAAGGTGCCGAGCAGAACTACCCACTAGCAGAAAAGGCTGCTTTTGCTTTGGTCTGCACAGCTCGTAAGCTGAGAGCTTATTTTCAGTCTCATCAGATTGTTGTTTATACTGATTTCCCATTGAGGAAAATATTGCAGAAGCCAAAACTCTCGGGGCGGCTCATTGGATGGAGTGTCGAGCTGAGTGAGTATGACCTCAAATTTCAGCCGCGCACGACTATTAAAGGCCAAGCTGTGGCAGACTTCTTGGTCGAATGTGCCCCGGCGACTGTGAAAGAAAAGACACCTGAACACCCAGTTTGGGTTTTGTATGTAGATGGAGCTGCTAATGTCGAAGGATCGGGTGCTGGAGCTGTGTTACTGGGCCCTGATGGCTTTAAATCCGAGCACGCACTGAGGTTTAAGTTTCAGGCGACTAATAACGCTGCAGAATACGAAGCCCTCATTTATGGACTGAAGCTAACATACGAGCTGAAGGTACGAAGCATTCAGGTTTACAGCGACTCTCAGCTCGTTGTGGGCCAGGTGAATGGCAGTTGTGAAATCAGGGATCCCCCGCTCGGTCGTTATGCCTCTGTGGTCAACAGATTGAAGTCAATATTTGTCCTTTTCCAAATTGATAAAATACCAAGAGCAGATAACCATTGAGCTGACGAGCTGTCAAAGTTGGCCTCCTCGTAGGACCTTAACCCTCAAAGATCTACAATTGTCGAGGTACTCGACGCACCGAGCTACACTGGTTCCACAGTCGAGTGTCAGTTGCTAACCACAGATCCCTCTGCACCGAGCTGGACCACCCTGCTCAGAAATTATCTACAAAGTGGTGAGCTACCTGAAGATCCGTCTGCTGCCAAAATGATTAAGCGCAGGGCGGCCCATTTTACTTTGATAAATAATCAGCTCTACAAGCGGGCAGCCTCCATGCCCCTATTACGCTGTCTTACTCCATATGAAGCTGAATATGCTGTTAGAGAAATCCATGAAGGGGTATGTAGCACGCACATCGGAGGTAAAACCTTAGCTCGTAAGCTCCTGAGGCATGGATATTACTAGCCGACCATGGTTGAGGATGCACAGAACTATGTCAAGAAATGCCCGACCTGCCAGTTTAACGTTGATGACATTCACATGCCAGGAGAAACGCTCTCACCACTCTCATCTCCCTGGCCTTTTGCCCAATGGGGAGTCGACCTGCTGTGCCCTTTTATGAAAGGAAAAGGAGGTTGCACATACCTCGCTGTCGCAGTAGATTACTTCACAAAATGGATAGAAGCCAAACCCCTATCCACGACGACAGAAAAGAAAATAGAGGAGTTCCTATTCAATGCAATATTATGCAGGTTTGGCATACCTAAACGGATCGTCGCTGATAATGGTCCGCAGTTCCGAGCCGCTGCACTGAGGTCATTCTACAATGACTATGGTATTGAACTCTCCTTGACGTCTGTATATACTCCTCAGTCAAACGGACAGGCCGAGGTCGCCAATAAGATTGTCTTGCGGTGCCTCAAGACGCGTGTTTTAGCCGCGCGTTCTAATTGGGTTGACGAGCTCAATAAAGTGCTTTGGTCTTGTCGCACCACGCCCAGCTCGGCCACAGGCGAAACCCCATTCAGCCTTGCTTATGGAGCTGAGGCCGTCATCCCGGTGGAGATCGGATTGCCCTCTGAGAGAGTAGGTCGGCACGACGATGGTAACAATGAGTAGCTATTGAGGGAGAACTTAGACCTTGTGGAGGAGGTTAGGGAGATGTCTCGAATGAGAAACGTAGCACATCAGAGTCGTGTGGCAAAATTTTATAATAAGAGAGTTCGAACTCGACAGTTTCAGATCGGCGATCTGGTTCTGCGCAAAGCTGGATTAACTAATACTTATTCGCATATGGGCAAGCTCGCTCCTAATTGGGAAGGACCTTATATGGTTATCAATATTAAGCGGCCTGGGTGTTATCAACTAGCAGATGTACAAGGTCGTCCAATACCATTCCTTTGGAACATACATAACCTTACAAAGTTTTATAGTTAACATGTATGTCACTAGTGCTCAGGTCATTATGGATCATTTGTAGATGATGATTTACAGAAAATTCAATACAAGAATTTCCAAAGGAAATTTTCGAATTTGCATTTGATCAATGAATTCTTACACATGGAGTGCATATTGCAAATGACTTCATCGATTTACACAAAAATACAAGAGTAATACACAACAATTTCAAAAACAAATATTGGAGTTGTATTTCATGAATATTCTTGTACAAATGTTCGATTAACATAAAAGACAAGAAGAAATACAAAAAGCAAAGCAAAAGGTCCTAAACTACTCATCCGTCAGGTCGACGGGGATGGATGCGTCGTTTGGCGTAGCAGCAGATCGAGCTGGCGATGACCGATCTGGGGAAGAGTGAGCAGGAGACTGAACTGGAGAGAGAGTTGGAGTTGGAGCAGCGGCTGAGACGGGCTGAGGCGGAGCACAGGGAGGAGTGCTGGAAGGCTCAGCAGGCACATCATGGGGATCTGCCACCCAAGCATCGAAGCTCGGCAACCCCTCCGTGTCCTCTCCCTCCTCAACGATAGAGGGGGGCCAAACGGGCAGCCCCTCCTCGTTGAGCTCCCACTTCAGTTTTACCCTAGTGTCAGCTGGCTGGGCGAGGCTCTTCCCGTCAGCATCGATCTCCTTGCCCTCGAAGAAGGCCAGCTCACCAATGGGGAAGTCTGCTCGGACTCCCAAAACCTTCCCACAAACTTCATTGAAGATGTCAGTGGTGGTGTTGGCTGCAGCCACAGCTACGGCGTCCTGGAACATCTCTGCCCCCACCAGCCACTCGGCCCCCTGTGCACAGGCAAAGCAGACGTCATGCTGGTGGAGTCTTTTGGTCCTCTCCAAGGACGCCTCAGCCCGGGCGACGTGCTGATCCGCCAGTGAGACCCTCTTCCTCAGGCCGCTCAGCTCGTGCAGAGTTTTCTCTCTCTCAGCTTCTGCCTTTTTGGCCCGGTCCTCTGCACGGCCGGCCTCATCCTTCGCAGCTTGAATGTAGTTTTCCTTCTCAGCCCGAGCTCTGTCCAGCTCTTCCCTCAGCTCAAGGACCTTACGAGCCAGCTCGTCAGCTCGGCTTTCAGCTGACGTTGCTCGATTAGCCATCTTCGAGCTCTGTAAGCGGCTGACCTCGTCAGCCAAGCTAGCCTTCTCAGATGCCAACTGCTTGCAGTTGTGTTGCAGCTCGCTGTTCTGCGCCCTGGCCCCTTGCTCGCACTCGAAGAGTGCGACAGTGTAGCTGAACGCCTGCAATACATGTTCACTCGTCAGTTTATAGTAAAAACAAGGTAAAACATAGTACCGAGCTCGCCAAGTGTACTTACATCCATCAGCTTAATTAGCGCAGCATGTCCTCTATGCTGTTGGACGTGCCCCGTTGCACGCAGCCGGTCTGCAGGAGGCACAAAGTTCTGCATACCCTGCAGCATAGCAGTTTGACACTCAGTTCGGGCGTAACTGAAGCAGTTTGGGTATGCAATCCTTGGCCCCACTACAGACAATGAGGTTGGTGCGGCCTCAGCAACCTCGTGAACTGGCGCTTGGTGCACACCAGCAGGACGCCCAGCAGGACGCGCAGCAGTGGCTGGGGCGGGCTGCGAGCCGGTGCTTGTTCTACGCCGGATGAGTGGAATGTCATCCTCTGCGTCAGACTCCTCCCTCGCGCGCCTCCTAGAGCTGGAGGGTGCAGGCTTAGTCCTCTGCTCGACACGCGGCCTTTGTGCAGAGCTGGAACTCCGTTGCTGGGAGCTGCGCCCCGGTGCAGCTGGTGGCCGCTCGTCAAAACGAGATTGGCGTTGGGAACCGGACCCAGCTCCTCGGTTCCTGGAGCCTTGTGCTCTCTGACGTTGACGCTCAAGAATACTACTCATGACTCCTGCACAAATAAAAGCATAAGACTCAGATCGGCTTGAAACTATACTATTATATGAAGATATACCTTGCGAGTATAGATTTGCCACGTCGACAAATCCGTGAAGTGCGATCTGCTCCGGGGTAACCAAGGTTTCCAAATCCACCAACCCCCTCGCCTTCACATAGTCGAGCAGCCGGTTCTTCAGGTCGACATCACCACTGGTCAGCTGGGGATAGTTCATGTATGTGCTCGGCGTACGCCACTCTGACAAACGGGCGGCGAGCTCGTTGTTAATCCTGTCAGTTCGCATATCCCGCACAAACACGAACTGTCTCTTCCACCTCGCCACCTTATTTCTGATGTTGGTGAATATCACCATCTTCTCCCTGCCCGAGATATAGTACCACCTCGTCCCACTGGTCGACGGGCACAAACGGCACAGGAAGAGCGACCTGAAGACCACCGCCTTTGCAGGCATCCCCAGCCTTTCGCACAACAGCATAAAGCCTATGATGAACTTTATGCTGTTGGGAGTGAGTTGCGAAAGGGCCAGCTCGTACTCTGCCA